AGTAAGGAGAAGAGCCAGAGTGGTGGTTGGGTAGGCACCCAGCAGCATCTGCTACCTACGTTCTTCACTCTTTTGCTGCCCTTCTATTGAACTTATGTTGGATCTTCTTATCTGTCTTTTGTAAATCTTGACTTTTCATGTTTTCAGTTTCTTAATTGAATTTTGGGTAATTTCCTCAGAGCCATCTACCAGTTTACCATCTTTCTCTTTAGCTAAATCTGCTGTTCATCATAACCATTGAGTTTTTAATTTTGACAACAAAATTTTTAATTTCTAGAATCTCAATAGGATTCTTTTTTTTTCTCAGTTGCTTACAATTTTTTCATGGTATCTTGTTCTTTCGTTATGGTTCTTACCCCTTTTCTTTTTAAAGCTTTCAATAATATTTATATTATAGTCTCATTCAATTTTTTCTATTAATTTAAGTTCTTGGAATGTCAGTTCTGTTTTTTGTTCTGATTGTCACTCATGATGCAGTCAAATGCTCTACCCCTGAGCTATACCCCCTGATTGTCACTCATGATGAACACTATGCACTCACCTTCACTGTTTGTTTTGTGAACGTGGAAATTTACCACAGACCCATTTTATGTTTACTTTTGTCAGCATTAATTTTTACATGGATTTATTAGTTTGGATTTCTGCCCCATGCAGAATGCATGGATTTGGTACCTGCATCAGCATGGCACATGACTCAGTGTTTGCTTTCTCAAGGCGGGAGGTGTTTTTCATGCTCCACCCAGAGCCTCAGGTAAATAAATGACTGTGGGTTTTTTTTTGTTTTGTTTTGTTTTGTTTTGTTTTTTTGCTTCCCTCTGCCAGCGGGAAAAACTTTTCTAATCTCTTATTCACGGAGGGGGCTGCACTTCTAGAACCCATGGTTTATACAGGCATTGGTTCCAGTTCTCTGCCTTGTGGAGCTCAGAGTTGCCCTCCCACATAAACCACCTCAACCCCAGGGCTCTTGAACTGGATCTAACACTCTTTTGGCCGTAGGTGTGGGATTTTACCTGACTTTGAATTTTCTCCCTATTTTTGGTACCTGTGGATTTCTCTCTCTCGGCTTTTCTTTTCTTTTTTAAAAACTTGGGTCACATTTAAGCCAGCATTTCAGTGAATTTGGAGTGGGAAAGACATTCATGTAGGCTGAGTCCACCATTTTGCCAGATAGGATTCCCTTAATGAGTGAAAAACACTCTGCTTAGCTTGAGGAATAAAGCACGTATTTTCTCATTTACTTTTTTATTTTATAGATTCATTCTCTTAATCTTTCTGACTGCATTTCAGGGACTTTCCTTGGAAGTTGTTTCTGTATATTTGAATAGGGAGTTCATACTGATGCCTCCTGTACCAACCTAACACTACAGGGTCCGTCTTATTCTCTTCTTCCATAATCTGTGCCTCCTTTCTCCCACAGACATACAAACTCAGTTGCTCTACACTCAGAATAGTCGTAAAATTACAACACCATTATCATCAAGCCTACTACATAAACTTGGTAGTTCTTTAATATATACCATTAACAATTTGTAGTTAAAATACTGTATTTTATTTAATTATTTTTTAAAGATTTTATTTATTTACTCACAAGAGACACACAGAGAGAGGCAGAGGCATAGGCAGTGGGAGAAACAGACTTCCCTGTGGGGAGACCGGATGTGGACCTCAATCCCAGCACCCTGGGATCACAACCTGAGCCGAAGGCAGATGCTCAACCACTGAGCCACCCAGATGCCCCCAAAATACTGTATTTTAAAAGCTACTTGATAGAACTTTTTTGTCTGCATGGTTATGTTATCAATCGAATATATAGTTAGGCCTAATTTTTCTGTTGGCAATAATTTTGTCTCCTTTTTTTTTAAAGTTTTTATTTATTTATTCATGAGAGAGAGAAAGAGGCAGAGACATAGGCAGAAGGGAGAAGCAGGCTCCCTGCAGGGAGCCAGATGTGGACCATGATCCCAGGACCCTGGGATCACAATCTGAGCCAAAGGCAGATGCTCAACCAGTGAGCCCCCCAGGTGCCCCAATTTTACTTTTTGCATTCATTTGTATTGAAAATTTTTTAGTATATAAAATATTTACATGGTTCAAGAATCAAAACTGAAAAATACTTAGAGAAATTTTGCTTCCATTAGTTTCTTAATTTCTAGTTATCTTTACTATTTTTCTTTTTGCATAAGTAAACTAATATTTATGCATATTTATATGCGGATACATTCTTATTTTCCCTTCTTTCTCACATTTTTCTAATTTCTTATTGTTTTTTTACAATTAGTGCCTCAACAAATGAAACAACTTTGTGCATCTGTCATTTCATATTATGAACTTATACCTTCAGGCAGGTACCTAAGAAATAGAATTGCTGGGTCAAAGGGCACATGCATATGGAGCTTTGTTAGATATTGCCAAACCCCCTCCACAGGTCTTTTCCCTTCTGCAATCACATTTGGAGTGAGTGTGGGAGAACGCATGTTTCCCTGCAGCCTCACCAACAGAGTGATGCCGCACTCGTGAGTTTTTAGTGGCATGTAGTTTTGTCGGCATTTCTCTTATTTTAATTGACATTGGGCATCTTTTCATAGGTTTACAGTATGATTGGTATATCTTGTTCTGTGAACTGTTTATGTCTATTTGTGCCTGCTTTTATTGAAATATAAATTGACACATAACATCATGTAAGTTTAAGGGATACGACATAATGATTTGATGGATATATGTATGCAAAATGACCATAAGTTTTGTTGATATCTATCTCCTCAGAGAGCTACATTTTTTTCTATTTATTGCTTTTGCTCAATTTTCTGTTTTTTCACCTTTCTGGGGTATTTTTAATTATTTATAAATTAAATTGATTAATCCTTTCTCTATGACATACATTATAAATACTTTCTCGTATTTTGTCATTTGTCTAATGACTCAACGTCTGTTTTCTTTACCATGTCATCACTTGCAAAGTTAATATGCTTACGTAGGACCTTTGTTTTGAGACACCAAATAATTTACTTATAAGAGTTAACAAAATTCAAAAAAAAAAAAAAGAGTTAACAAAATTCAGAACTCACAAAATAAAGACAAAACCCCAAGACAACCTTACAAAGACACGGATGTAGAAGGCATACCTACAAGGTATATTCATTGCGCAAAGCCAGAGTAACTAACATACTGCATAACTGAGCAAAAATTTAGAATATTTCAGCAGCCTGGAAATATGGGCCCAAATGCACGAAATAAAATTTAGTAGAAATAATGTGTTGTATTTAGGTTTAAAAACATTAATGCCATCAATTAAAGATTGGGGACAGCTGCCTTCACAGAAATTCCTATGTGTATAAGTGTTAGGTTTTAGACGACCACACAGTTAGATAAGCCCAACAGGATGATACGGTTGATGAAGGAAAATGCATTCTTAGAGTGAACAGCAGGAGGAGGTTGTTCTGATGATGGAGAAAATTGCCCCCTTGTGCTCGACCACATCCAGAAGATGTGGAAAATTGCCCCCTTAGCAGACCACATCCAGAAGATGCGTTCGGTTTTGGGGACTATGGGATCAAGAAGGTCACAGTTAGCTGCAAACAGGTCCAAAGCAAGGAGTCTGAATTAGCCAAGAGTCTGGACTCATATCAGGGACTTAGGAGATAAAATCTAGAGAAGGGAAAGCAAGTCACTTGGGAAGCATTTAGAGGCTATCAAATGGAGAAGGGATTCAGATTGTTTGGTGGGGCTCAAGCCAGCAGGCCTCAGGTCTGTGGTGAGGACCCACAGCAGGCAGGCTCCCTGGAACAGGAAGCTCTCTGACCAGCACATGGGACTGCTGGAAGGGGAAAGGCCAGCTCTGAACCCACCTGCTCCCTGTGGCCAAAAGTTTGTGGACAGCGGTGTCAGGTCAGCCAGGGGCAGTGGGGAAAGCCTCTGCCGCCCTGTGTGGGCAGATTAGGAACTATGGTCCTGTCATCTGGCTCATGGAAGGAAAGCTTTCCTTTCTGGTGTCTTCTGTTTGTTGGGGAAAGGAGCAGGTAGGGGAAGTGATTGGTGGGATTTTTTGGCTGATGAAAGTAGATGAAGTTTTTGGAGAAACGTGGCCCTTGGAATTTAATGTTAAGATGTTAACCTTCAGTTTTAGCCAAGGTCTCGAGCTAGTGTCCCAAGAGCAGGGGCTGCGCTGTGTGGAGAATGGTGTCGTGGGCCAAGGCCTCACCCTGTGCCCGCATATCCCCATTTGTGCTTAGTGTCCAATGCTTGCCCTCCTTCGCTGTATCTGACAAGAGCCAGGATGATGGCTCTGAATGAATTGTACGTGTCAAAAGTCTGCTCAGGGACCTCAGAAGAGTTCCTACGATAAGCTTGCTTTGGAACTTAACAGGCACACAAATCACCTGGGGATGGATTCTGCATCTGAAACAAAGTATGTACTTTATGTTGGCTAATTGAATTTAAACTTTAAAAAATGTAAAAAAAAAAAAAAAACCACAAACCCATAAACCACCAAAAAAATATGCACATTCTGGTTCAGGGAGTCAGAGGTGTGCCTGAGATTCCCGGTCTCTGTGGGCTCCGTGGGATGCTACTGCCGCTGGCTCAGGGAGCTCCCCGGGTTGCAGGGACCCCGGAGCAGCACAGAGACCCCTGCCTGCTGCTTGTTTCCAGCGCAGGTTCCCAGGCTGGACATCTGATCTCCGGGACCAGCCCCTGTGCGGCGGGGCCCCAGAATTGGCTCTTGGGCCAGCACACAGGCCGTACATCACGGGCTTTGAACACTGGCCACAGGAACAGTGATTAGGTTGGGTTAGGTTGGAAGAACACGTCGTTCAAGGAGACACAGGGAGTCCCACACAAAGTAGGTTATAGAAAACAGGCCGCTTTTGTGGAGCTTGAGCGGGGAAGCCTGGCTGAGAGTCTCAGGCTGCCAAGAGGACTGGAGCCTCTGCTGCTCTTCTGTCGAGTGCATGTGAGAGGATCTGATGAGTCTTTTCCTGTCTGTCGGTCTCCCCTTTTTCTAGCCGTCCAGCATGCTTTGCACACCGCACGCCGAGGTGCCCTGACCATGAGCCTGAACTCCTCCCTCGGCCACAGGAAGGAGCTGAGTAACCTCACGGAGGAGGAGGGTGGTGAAGGGGGCGCTGTCGTCACTGACTTCATCACCATCATCATCATCACCATTTTCGTCTGCCTGGGCAACCTGGTCATCGCCGTCACCTTGTACAAGAAGTCGTACCTCCTCACCCTCAGCAACAAGTTCGTCTTCAGCCTGACCCTGTCCAACTTCCTGCTGTCCGTACTGGTGCTGCCTTTTGTGGCCACCAGCTCCATTCGGAGGGAATGGATCTTTGGCGTGGTCTGGTGCAACTTCTCCGCCCTCCTCTACCTGCTGATCAGCTCGGCCAGCATGCTCACGCTCGGGGTCATCGCTGTCGACCGGTAAGCCTGCCTCTGAGAATCAAGGAATTAAGGAATGGGTGCCGAGGGGGGAGCCTGGGAGATCATCTGGTCCTGTGACTTTCACTGTCTTAGTTCCTTGGGAGGATGTCGGGGGCTTTGGCTTCGTCCTCCATCCCTCTGACCAGAGTACCTCTGATTTTATCTAATCTGCATTATTGCATTTAGTTTTATTTTTTATAAAAAGATATTCTGATGCTTAAGAAGAAAGTTCTTAAAACCTCTGATGCACCCTTTATAGATGAGGAAAAGAAACTGGGGAAAGTGATCTGTCAGAGAGATTAGGTCCAGGGCTTCGCGGAGGGCTGCCTGCTGTCTCTTGCTTTGCTTGGGCCCCTCTGTTCATCATGCTTCTTAGGATTTTGCTCATGGGCACTTCACTCATCACAGGCAAGTGTTTGACTTCGGGGGGCGAGAGTAGATTGAAATTGTGGGATCAGGAGGGAGCAGTGGAGTCAGGAGGCTAGCCGGGGTTCCTGTCACTGGGTGACATGGTCTGCGGGCTCCCTCAGGACCATCTGTTGTTGAGCTGATGAACGGTAGCTGGATGGTGCACCCAGAGTGCAGGCCTGTACCAGGCCTAAGGCCAGACCGTGTCGGCCTCCTCTGGCTGTGGGGAATGCAAATTGGTCATAACTAATCAGTTGGCTTCTCTAAATCTCTTTTTTTTTCCAATAATGAAAATGATACAGAAAATGTGAAGAATAAAGTAAGAACTATCCCTAATCCCACCAATCAGAAGCAATCACTGTTTTGATGTTAGTATATTTACGTCTAGTAATCTTTGGTTGCATACAGTACGCTTTTTAAATAGGCTTTATGGCACGTGTGGTTTGTGTTACCTGCTTTTTTACTTAACAAGTGATCATGAGCATTGTTTTCCCACCTGCAAGTGTTGAATGCTCTTTAGAAACATGATGTTTAATGGTTCCATGGTATTCCATCCTGTGGAGGCACTAGAATTTGTTTTTACAGTCCCTTCTTATTAGCTTACTGTCATATAGAGCACGTTTGAGGAAGGCGTATGTTGTGGAATTGTGTTTTTGGTAAGAGTAATAAAACACACTTTCAAATTCTTTGTGTGTAAAAGGCATGTTGTTTTTCAGAAAGTGGTACAGATTTTTACTCTTGTAGCTATTTGTCAGCATCCTATCAAGACTGATTATATGACATTAAAAAAAAAACTGGAACTTTGTTGGCAGTGGGAGGCATGGGATCTCACGGTTGTTCTAAATTCTATGTTTTTAAAAAATTGGCGATCTTTGAGCATCCTTTCCTGGGCCTTGGGTCCTGTGGGACATGGAGTGAGGACCAATGGCTAGAGCAGAGCTGGGGAGTTAATTCTTAAGTGCCTCTCACGGGGGTCATCTCTATATGGATGCTTGGGGTATTGTCCCAGCTTGGCAAGGGTGGCTCTAAGGGGCTGTAAGTTGTTTGCTTGAATGTTGGGTTCCTCCGCAAGCATGACAGATCCTCCAGTTGTGCTGTCAGAACGCACTATCCCTGAGATGGGTGACTTGTTCCGGCACCCTGTTCTTTCCCACTGTGGCACTGGTTGGCACTGGTTGGCACTCTAGGGGAGGCCCTGTGCTGAGTCCTGAGGGTGGCAGGATACAAGTATGGACAGGACAGACCTCGCCCACCAGGAGTTTATAGGCGAAAGGCAGAGGCAGCAGGGGAGTGTGGGTGTGAACACAAAGCCGAAATAGCCGAGGGCGCAGCTCCAGTCCAGCCCTGGGTGGCAGGGCCAAGGGTGCTTCTGGGAAAGGTGGCATTTGAATGAATACATTAGGACAGCAAGTAGGATGCTTTGACCAGACTCTTGTGATTACAGGGGAGGGACTGGCGTAAAATGTAAAAGTTTTCAAATAACTTCATGGCAGGTGCCATTTATTTTTTTATATTGATCATTCGTGTGGTTTAAAGATACAAATTGACTGGACCAGTTAACTTGATTTTGTCCATTTAAGTGACATATTTATACACTCCTTCTGTCTGCTTAATTTTGTTAAATTAATTGTACTCAATCTTGGTAATTTCAGAGGTCATCTATTTGCCATAGTCTATTGGAAACCTAAAGATGCAACTATGTGTGCGTGTGTGTGTGTCTGTGAGAGAGGAAGGGGAGGAGAGATGGGGAGGGGTCAGGAGGGAGAGAGAAGAGGAAAAGCAATAACGCAGAGACAAAGAACAGAGAGAATGGGACTAGAAGAGAGAAATAGTTACATTTCTAAGAAAGTGGAAAAGAAGAAAACCTGGGGCCGTGGTCACGACCTCAACTAAAAAGGGTCGCTTGCTGATCCCTTGCCAGGCGCCGTTGTGAGGCTTTGTGAGCTCACCCAAGCCCACATGGCTGGTAGGTGGCTCGTCCAGTTCTGAGGAGGTAGAGGCTGGGCTTTTAATCACCTCCAGAGACTGCACAGGGAACCACCGGTCATGTCTGACAAGTGGTTAGTTTAGCTCCGGGTTTCTCAGCCTGACAGTGCTGACATCGTGGGCAGGTAACATTTGCTGCGCGGGGCTGAACTGGGAGCTCCTCGCCGGATGCAAGTGGCTCCTCTCCAGTTGTGACAACCCGGAATGTCTCCAGTCATCGTCACATGTCCCCAGGGGACACGTCATCCCCAGTCGTGAACCCCAGCTAAATCAATCAATCAAATAATAAGTTGGCAGATGACCAAAAGTGTTTATTTTGTGGCCTCATGAAGAGACAGCAAAAAAACACAAGTGAAGAAAGAGTAGCTGACTGGAGCGAAGTTTGGTGGAAGTGTCAACATCCTAAACCAGCCACATGGAGATAGGGCCAGGTGGGGACCGTCATTAGACCGGGGCAGAATTTCCCCATGCCTAAGTCTGTGACATGGTCACCTCTAGCTTAGCCTGGAAGCTGCTCATGTTTTCACTTTGTGCTGGGATGGATGAAACCCCAGCTCTAAAACCCGTGTTTAATAAATCAAAATAGCTGGGACTGTGAGATGGTTAGTCATAGTGAAGCAATTCACTAGTGCTTTTAGGACACTGTTCAGTATGAGTTAACGTGTGTTCTCCTCTTGCCTTGGGCTTTGTTCACATCTGTAGGTGGAGCTGTCTCATTGACCCAGACGTGGCTATTGGAGGGCTCCGCGTTAGAGCCCCCGTGTGCATAATGGCTTGTCAGTTACACGTGATGTTGTGAGAGCCTCTTTTGGGACCAGGGGTCCTGCTTGGGATCATGTGTAAAAATGAGTGGCTGGAGGAAAGACTGAGAGCCCCAGAAGCCAGTTACGAGCAAGAGCCCAGAAGGCGAAAGGAACCCCTGCGCTTTGGCCTCCGATGACCTGCAGGGGAGCAGGGAGTTGCTTGTGACCTGCATTTTCCTTTGAACCTGCAAATAGACCTAAATGATGCTAAGTTGAAAGAAATGACGTTTCAAATCTCTGAAATCCATGTTTTCTTGGTGGGCAGGTGTGGGATTGTTTCATATCTTTATAGAGCTGTAGATTTGTGCATTTCGTTGTATATAAATTTTATAAAAGATGGAAACAAACCCCAAAATTAGAATAGTCCTGGGGGGATAAAGGGGCAGCCCTCTGACCTTTGGCGACTGACCCCTTGGGAGCTGGCCCCTGACCCAGCATCCTGGAGGACTCAGGGTCCAGCTGGGAGAGAGTACTGTCGTGTCCCACTGGAATTGCTCATGGCCAGAACCTCCGTCAGTGGATGAAGGAAATACCATTTATTACAATAAAGAGAAGACTTGCCATAAAATAATAATAACTGAGTGTTTAGAATAGCCAGAAGGGTATGTTGCAGAGGACAGCTTATTAATTGTAATTATTTTTATGACTGCCAGAGCAGGGTTGGTCAGAGGAGCCAGGGGCAGTTAACATTCCCCAGGCTTGGCTTCCCACACCTGGACGCGCCCTTGCCCCTGAAGTGTCCTGAGGTCAGAGGGCCTGCACAGTTTTTAAGAGGGCAGAGAAAAGAAATCTGGGGTACCTGGGTGGCTTAGGCAGTTGAGTGTCCCATTCTTGGTTTCAGCTCAGGTCATGATCTCATGGGTCCTGGGATCAAGCCTCATGTTGGGCTCCTCGCTCAACAGGGAGTCTGCTTGAGATTCTCTCCCTCCCTATGCCACTCCGCCTGCTAACACGCATGCATGCACTTCCTCTCAAATCTTTTTTTTTTTTAATTTTTATTTATTTATGATAGTCACACACACACACACAGAGAGAGAGAGAGAGAGAGGCAGAGACACAGGCAGAGGGAGAAGCAGGCTCCATGCACCGGGAGCCCGACGTGGGACTCGATCCCGGGTCTCCAGGATCACGCCCTGGGCCAAAGGCAGGCGCCAAACTGCTGCACCACCCAGGGATCCCCTTCCTCTCAAATCTAAAAAAAAAAAAGAAAAAGAAAAATCTCTGCCTTGTTTTGTGTAAGTGAAGGAAACCTCCCAGGCACCCCTCCATCCCACCCTAGCTACTTCCTCACGTTTCACTTGCTGGGATGATGTACAGGTCAGGGTCTGGGCCATCACCTGGCAGGAGGTAGGAGACCACCAGAATGGCCTGGTTCATCTCTCGGGACTCAGAAGAGCCCAGTGTCCCTTCCTGGTCATGGCCATTGGGAGCAGTACGAACAATATGGGCCCCCATCTTCAGGAGAAGAGGGAGAGGTTGGTCAGAGAGAGAGCAGGCTCTGCCCCCACTGCCAGGGGAAGAGCAGGCACCATCTGGGCCTTTCCCTCAGTCCAACACGTTGCATTCTTGGAGCAGACCTGTGGCCGGGCTTCTGCAATGGTACAGATGAAGGACCTGAAGCTCTGAGAGGTTGAATCAGCTACCCAAAGTCACCCAGCTAGTCGACAGCAAAGCCACCATCTGAACCCAGGCATTCCAACTCCAAAGGCATGCTCCTTTCGCAGGCTGCACGGACATTGCAAGGTGCAAGCCCAGGTATCAGCATAAGACAGTGACAGTTGTACCCCAGGCCATGCGCAGTGACAGCTGTAATCCGTGCCAGATCCCTGCGGGATCTTTTCAGATCTCACACCCAGAAACGCTGTCTTTCCAGGCTCCATCTTGGCTGGAGCCCGCAGCCCAACATCAGCAGCCCCAGGCTTACGTCTGATTAGGAGGGCCCTTCACAAGGACGCAGATGGGGGAAGCAGCACCCCCCACCCCCCGCCCCAGGAGAGGCAGCAAGCAGCATATGGCAGTTTGGACAGTGGCCCCTGTCCTGGAGCCGCTGATGAGCAAAGGGTGACTCGAGATGGTCCCAGTGGAGCAGGAGGCTTCCCGGGAGGTGTGTGACCCTCACCACCACGGCCATTTTCTGACATCCTACCTATACCAGGCAGCATCAGTGTGTCCACCCCTGTCTTTTCCACATGCTGCCCTCATGGGGAAAACCCTATTACTCATTAAACAGCATTTCCTTTGGATAAAGTGTCTGAGTGGGGAGGACGGTGGTTTATTTCCAGCCCATGGTCTGGTCAGGCCTCCATGGCTCACATGCCCCTGGCCCCTGGCTCCTGGCCCCTGGCCCCGGCTTCCATCTCCTGCCCCGCCTCCGCCCCACACCTGCCTGATTGAACCCTGTGTAGCCTTCCCCTGAGGCAGACACTGGCTCCCATCCATGCCTCCCCGCAGCTGCCTTCCACCCCCGTTACTCCTGGGTCAGGGCTTCTGATCTTTGAAGACCTGGATGTGTGTGCCATCTCCCACAGGAAGCCTGCTCTGACCCTGCCGTCTGGAACAGGTGCCCTGCCAAGCATCCCTCCTCCACCCACGGCCAAGGGGTTGGGAGCTGCCCGTATGGTGTGGACTCCTGGAGAAGATGGTTAACGAGTGACTGCTGGCCTGTGCATTGGGGACTGCGTTTATCTCTTGTTTCTTCCCCTTGTTTTGGGCAGGCTACATCTTCTTTCTCTGCTTTAGTGTCCTCATCTGTACAATGAGGATAATGGTAATCCTCACCACCTCAAGCAGTTGTCGTGAAGATTCCAGTTAGCTCTTACCTCCAGACCCTCAACCTCTCCCTGTTGTCTGTCTCCCCTCACATCTCCTCACCGCCTTTCCAGTACATAGCACAGCGCTTAGCACAGCGGGCCTTCAGTAAATGTTCATCCAGTGAATGAACCCCTTAGTCCTTTAATATTGCTCTGGTTTTTAATGACCCTCTGAAAACTGATCTAAATGGATTAATAATGTCAGCAACCCAGAAACTATCTGGCTTGATGCAGGATCCCTTAGAACTCCTGTGGATGCCTCAACATTACCCACAGCCCCAAATATGATTGGGCTCTCACATTGTGACTTGGAAACAGGACCGCTTGAGCTCTGGCACCCAGCTCTTGCCTGAAGCGGGGTCTCAGAAAGCTGTGTAACATAGCACAGTCTGTGCCTTGTCGGGGAGAAGTTGGGAGAAGGAGCTACTTGTAGGAGCTCTGACCACATGGCTGGATCGGATGGAGAAATTCAGCAAAGCTCCCTATGTTGGAGGGCACAGGGTGCCTATTCTGGTATATGGTCCCTATTTTGATTCCCCTCTCTCGTCTCCCTCTGTCCTTCCTCTAGCTACTATGCTGTCCTGTACCCCATGGTGTATCCCATGAAGATCACGGGGAACCGAGCTGTGATGGCGCTTGTATATATATGGCTTCACTCCCTCATCGGCTGCCTGCCACCTCTGTTTGGTTGGTCGTCGGTGGAGTTTGACGAGTTCAAGTGGATGTGTGTGGCTGCGTGGCACCGGGAGCCCGGCTATACCGCCTTCTGGCAGATCTGGTGTGCCCTGTTCCCCTTCCTGGTCATGCTGGTGTGCTATGGCTTCATCTTCCGCGTGGCCAGGGTCAAGGCCCGCAAGGTGCACTGTGGCACTGTGGTCATCGTGGAGGAGGACGCGCAGAGGAACGGGAGGAAGAACTCCAGCACCTCCACCTCCTCCTCCGGCAGCAGGAGGAATGCCTTTCAGGGCGTGGTCTATTCGGCCAACCAGTGTAAAGCCCTCATCACCATCCTGGTGGTCATCGGGGCCTTCATGGTCACCTGGGGCCCCTACATGGTTGTCATCACCTCCGAGGCCCTCTGGGGGAGGAACTACGTCTCCCCGGCCCTGGAGACCTGGGCCACGTGGCTGTCCTTTACCAGCGCCATCTGCCACCCCCTGATCTACGGGCTCTGGAACAAGACGGTTCGCAAGGAGCTGCTGGGCATGTGCTTTGGGGATCGGTACTACCGGGAGCCGTTCGTGCAGCGGCAGAGGACGTCCAGGCTCTTCAGCATTTCCAACAGGATCACAGGTAACTTGGGCGTCCACTGGGCAAGGGATGTTCGCCCTGGCAGGAACTGCCTGCAGGCCTCGAGGGCGCTCTCACGTGTTGAAGGGTGAGCGCTCAGAGGCTCCCGGAGCGTCCCCTGTCTTTCCCAGGCAGCTTTCCCAAGCGCAGCAGCTTGAGGCAGGGGATGCCAGAGCTCAGAATCCGTGTTGCAAGCACAGCCCCGGCCCGCCGGCCTCTTTCTCCCGACCACATTGGACTGGGCTACCCTCCACCTTGGGCCAGTCCTTTCCTTTCAGTGTTCTGGAAAGCGGACTCCATTTCTGGGGCCCCCTCCCCTCCCCAGCTGCCCATCTCTGAACACATTCCTCCTCCTCAGGCCTTTCTGGCTGGGCCATGGTTTCCTCACACCGTCTCCGGTAACTCACGATGTGTCTGTGCCAAACCTCAGCCCTCACCTTGAAATGTCACTGTCTACTCTGTGTGAAGCGACTCCTCCATCTAGTAACCAATTTTGAGAGTTAACAGGTTTCTGGAGACAATCCTTTCACCTTTGGTGAGACCCAGAGGAATTACTCTAGGAAGAGATGGAATTTTTTTTTTAAGATTAAATTTGTATTTATTTGAGAGAGAGAGCATGAGGAGGGAGAGGGGGCAGAGGGAGAGGGAGAACCAGGCTCCTTGCTGAGCCAGGAGCCCAACACAGGGCTTGAACCCAGGACCCCTGGATCCTGACCTGAGCTGAATGCAGACACTTAGCCAGCCGATTGAGCCACCCAGTAGTTCGTTTTTTAATCCTTTTTATTTTGATATGATTTTAGACTTGGAAAAGAGCTGGGAAGCATGTACAGAGAATCCCATCTGCCCTGCTTCTTCTGGTGTTAGCACCTGGCCGAACCATAGCAGTTACCAAAATTAAGACATTAATACTGGTGTAGTGCTATCAACTATGCATTTGTTTTGTTTTTTTTTTAATTTTTTTTAAATTTTTATTTATTTATGATAGTCACAGAGAGAGAGAGAGAGAGAGAGAGAGGCGCAGAGACATAGGCAGAGGGAGAAGCAGGCTCCATGCACCGGGAGCCCGATGTGGGATTCGATCCTGGGTCTCCAGGATCGCACCCTGGGCCAAAGGCAGGCACCAAACCACTGCGCCACCCAGGGATCCCTCAACTATGCATTTGATTTGGATTTCACCCATTTTTCCCATTCCCATCCTTTTCCTGTTCCAGGATCCAGTTCACAATCATGTCATGGCTACCTTTGTCTTCTTCAAGTTTTGACAAGTCTGTGCTCTTCCCTTGTCTTCCATGACAGTAACGCTTTTGTAGAGAATTGGTTGGAGACTTCGTAGAATGCCCCGCAGTATGTGTGGGGCTGATGCGTTCTCAGGATTAGAATGAGGTTATACCTTTTTGGCAGGAATGCCGTGGGGGTGCCATGCTCTCTGTAGTGATCACGTCGGGGGCACCTCGCTCAGGTTACTTTGGTGTCTCAGTTGATGTCTTAGCTCAGGCTGCTATCACAAAATACCATAGATTAGGGGGCTTATACCACAGACATGTATTTCTCACAGTTCAGATGGCTGGAAATCTGAGGTCAAGGTGCTACACAGGTTGGGGTCTGGTGAGAGCTCTCTTCCTAGCTGTCTTCTTGCTGCGGCTCATGTGGTGGAGGTGTGGGGAGACAGGACAGAGCAAGCCCTGTGGTCTCTTCTTACGAGGACCCCACCCTCAGGACCTCATCTCCTCCTGATTACCTCCTAAAGGCCTTATTTCCAAATGCCAGCACGTTGGGGGTTAGGGTATATGAATTGGGCGGGGGGATACAGTCTATACAATTCAAGGGATGTCTATTGGGTTTCTCCATTGTAAAGTCACTGTTGTTTCCATTATAATTAATACATACAATGGGGGAGGTCCTTTGAGGCTGTGCAGAGGTCCTCTCTCTCCTTCAGCCTTGCATGCATTGGGGATCTTGCCTCCAGCCATTAGTACTGTGGTTATTCTAGTGGGGAAGTAGCTGGCTTTTCAGGGTCATGTTTGAGGGTGATTGTCACCTGGATGAGCCACTGGAAGAGAGATTATGAAGGCACTTAGATCAACTGGAAAAAGCCAGTTCAGATTATAATTTTGAGAAGGCTTCCAACTTCTCTCTCAAGAGGGTGGAAAGAAATAGCTCATAATTATCGTGAATACTCAGTGGTAGTGGTGATAGATCTTTTCTGTGAGGCAATAACAAACCAGCATCATTGATTTATTTCATGGGCTAATGAAGTGTTACTTCTTGAGGGAAGAACTCAGGGAGGTTTTTTTTTTTTTTTAATTTTTTTTAAATTTTAGGTAGGCTCCATGCTTGAACTCATGACCCTGTCAAGAGAGGGACTTTTTATTCTAACCAGAGGAGAAAAAGAATCTCTCCCCATCCTAGGATTTTAACCACTGAAATGCCCATCCCCTAGCCTTTGCGACTCTGTGTTTCCAAGTATGCCTCGTGAGCCAGGACTGCATTCAGGGTCTGGTTTCATTTCACTGATTAACTTATTTAGAGTTTGTAAAAACACTTGTCTTCTAGGCAAAAAATTTGAGATGTTTTATATTCCATGAAAATTTAGGAATGAGGAAAGAAAAAGAACAAGGAAAGAGAATGGAGGAGGAGAGGGTAGCTAACAAAAAAAAGAAACATCTGCTTGGGGGTGCCTGGGTGGCTCAGTCGGTTAGGTATCTGACTCTTGGTTTCAGCTCAGGTCACAATCTCAAGATTGTGGGATCAAGCCCCCATGTTGGGCTCTGAGCTCAGTGCAGAGTTGGCTCCGGATTCTCTTCTCTCCCTCCCCTTCTGCCCCCCACCCAATAGATGAATAGTCTTAAAAAAAAAATCTGCTTTTGGTTGCAATTTTCCATGCAGGGCACCTGTGACTGTGCGGGCTGAGGTCATGGGGCCAGAGAATGGGGGGACATGCCAGCTATAGTTTGGTGGCCAGTCCAAGGCAGCTGGTGGTCTCCTCTTGAGGGAAAAGAGCAATCTTGCTGGATGTTTTTGGGTTGAAGAGCGTGGGGACGAAGGGGTTCTGCATAGTTGGCTTTCCTGGTGGTGGTGGTGGTGGTGGCTGTGGGGGTGGCGGAGGCGGGAGGCTGCAGGCACCCTGGGGGAGTCCTGGAGAGGAAGCAGCAGACAGGCCCCAGCCTCACTCATTGCCCTTCTGGGCAGAATGGGGTGCCTCCGTCCCTCTGGCTGAGCCCCTCGGTGGGCCTGGCTCGCATCCACCCAGACTCCAGAACCAAACTCCTTGCTGGCTCCCGGAGCCTGCTTCAGGACCGCCTCCCTCCCCTCCGAGAGTGCCCCAGCTCTGGTGGTAGCACCAGGAAAGAAAGAAGGTGGATCTGTTGCGGAGAAGCAAGAGAGGACTGGGAAGCTCTGGCTTGGTTTTGTGCCTCCCTCCGTGTGTGGACACCTGGGAAGTTTTAATCAAGGAACGGGTACCTGGAAGTAGAGACTTCCCTCACAGTGCCTGTGAGCAGAGGCAGAGAGGAGCTCCAGAAAGACCTGGAGCTTTCCCAGCTGACTCTAGGATGTCAGGAGTTTTGTAAACACAGTGTCATGTTTATTTCCTACACAGATTTCCACCATAATCAGCGGGTCTGGGTTTTCTCGTTCTGTTAGCCCCAAGCTGAAGAAGTGCAAAAGCTGAGGTTTTCCCTAGATGCCACCTGCCACTGAGCCCCCCAAAAGCCTTCAGCCTGTGAGGTCTTATTGATAAATTTGCTAGGAATGGCCATTTCTGGGCCATCTGGAGGTTGTCAGGCTGTGCCCCCTCTGGTAGAGAGGTCAGCCCTAGAGCTGACACTGACTTCTAGTGCAAGAGGGTGGGCTGGATGCTGACATGTGGTGTTGGGAGGCCAGACCACACACCCAAAGCTGATAGGTGGCTACGGGTGACCAGGGGCCTTCAGGAGAAGGGGCAAACTGCCTTCCAGCAACTCTTCCATTGGCCGAGCCCAGGCAGGGCGGAGAGCCCAGGGCCCCCCACTCCAGGCTGGGAAGGTGGCCTGGGCACCCTGGGAAGGCAGCCTCTACAAATGCCTGCCACTCTGTGCCCGAAGCTCCTGGAACTGGGTTAGAGCCTTTCTAGCAGTCTTCTGGAGAGGAGGATGTGGACACACTCAGAAGAGACACCTTGGTGCAGGGCCTCTTGGAGAGCTCTGCGCTGGAGGGAGGGAAGGCCACCCTGGGGCCTTTGAATTTTCATACCTGGTTTGCAGGTTTCTTCCCTGGTGCCACTGAGAGGCTTTCTGGTGACTTCAAAGTGCCTGTTTCACCTCAGAACTGTGCTGCTGTTCCTTTACCTTCTGAAGGCACTAGTGACTCTGATTCATCCGGGGCTTGCTCAGATCCCCAGGGCCTGTCACTTTGTGCCTTTTTTTTTTTTTTTAATTTTGTAACAAGGCTTGGATTGGGCCTAATCCAATAGATATATTATTGCTTCGTGTGAAAAATACCAGGTATTTGTGCCCACTGTGGAGTGGTAAATGCGAAATCAACACAGGGCAGAGCAGTGCCCCAGATCTTTCAGCCCAGCCGCAGCGGGCTGGCTCAGATGGCTCCTCACGCTGCTGGAGACCAGGCCGTGCTCTGGCTCTCACCACAGCCTCAGAGCCGGTGTCCCAAACCCAGCACGGCCTTGGCCATCGCGGTTGGCAGTGCACTGTCCCCCACAGGGCCCTCCCCAGGCCAGGCTTCCTGCAGGGATGTCATATTCTGAGGCCAAGGTCCTGGATGGGGACAAGCACGTTTGGGTCTTGTCTGGTCCCAGGCCCCTCCTCCAGTGTGCTCTGCACAAGCACAGTTCCCCCAAGTTCATGGAGGGGTGATTCAGAGGGAAGCCTGTCCTCCCCCTACCGTCTCCTCCTTGGCTCCAGGGAAGGAAGGAAAGCATATTGTCCATCACCTCATACGCTCAGGAGAATTAGGATGAACATAAAGAACAGAGCCCTGTGCTGTCTGTAAGTGGACCGTGGGAGGAACTGGGCCGCCGTTACGGCAGGTCATTCAGTCCTCTGGGCAGCAGGCCTTCTGCGTTTGTAATTGCTGGGAGCTCCTTCTCCTGACCTCGTGGTCTCCAGAGCCTCCAGTCTTTTGTTCGTGGAGTTATTATTCTCTCAACTTTCTCAGGGGACTCCTGTAAATTTTTTTTTAATTCTTAAGCTCCCTCCCTTGTCTCCTCTGAGATCTATTTCCCCCTTTTCTTTCTTTTGTAATCTTTCATCTCTGTCTCTCAGGCTAGTGGCTCTCTCCGTGTTTAGTGACCTCGGCCATCCTCTGTGTTAGTGGCAAGGCCCTGGGAGCGGGTGGAGGCCCTCTGGGGGGCACGGGAGGCCCAGCTGCCCTGGGAAGGGTTCTCATTCCCTGGCCAGGCAGAGTAAGATGAGGGGCGGGGTCCCCCTGTGAACTCTGTGGCCTGGGCTTACACTGGGTAAGCCTGGGCCGTGGCCGGGGGAGTCTGCGAGGCCGGTCCCCTGGGTCACTCCCTGCCAACAAGGGGGCTGAGCACCCTGAGCCCAGGCTGGGAAGAGGGGTGGAGGGGCCCCGCACTGCCTCTGCTTTCCATCCAGCCCCGCCTGCCGCAGAGGCTCCTCGGTCTCCAGTTCCTGAGCTTCGGGGGCGCCGGGTGAGAAGCAGCCGCCGGCCTCAGCCCCCTGCCCTCACCTGGCTTGCGGACCTGCTGTCCCACTTTGCAGTTTACGCCCGTCTCTTAAAAATTCCCTTCTGGTATTCAGTGGGGATCCGAGGCGGTCACAGGGCACCCGTGTTCCTGTTTCACTGGAAGGTCATCACCCAGGGCTGTTGGCCCCACCTGCCTGGCTGGTGTGGGCTGCTGGCCTGAGAGTTTCCTCTCTGGGGGACCCAGAGAATCCTGGTGCAGACACCCCCAGGGTAGGAGCGAGAGGCAAAGGGGGCTGAGAGCCTGCATTGTAGGAGACAGAGAGGACAGGCAGGCCGGTGGTGAGGTGAGTGGGACAATGGAAAAGCGAGGGTCAGCGGCTGCCTCTGTGGGAGCTGGGTTGTGCTGACGGTGCGGATTTTACCTTTCAGACCTGGGCCTGTCCCCACACCTCACGGCTCTTATGGCAGGCGGCCAGCCCCTGGGGAATAGCAGCAGCACTGGGGACACTGGCTTCAGCTGCTCCCAGGACTCAGGTGAGCCTCCCGCGCGACCCTGGTGCCAGTGGAGGAGCTGGCAGGAGGGCCAGGCCCTGGGCGTGGGTTTCTAGGCATGGCTTTTCCCTCGCCAGCGTGTCCGTGCCTCCGTTTCCTCCTCTATAAAATTGGGGAGTTCAGTTCCCGTTCCCTCCACCGCCAGGGCTGTCGGATCCAAATTAAGTGAAACCCTTTGAAAAGTTAAAGTGTTAGTGACCACGAGTTGTTACAGTTATCCTCATGCTGTCGGCCAGCACAGGCTCGGGTGTCCGTGTCTGATCGGCCTTCTCCGAGCTGCGTTATCTTGGGCAAGATGCTTACTCTTTTTCTAAGCTTTGGAGCATCCCCGTTTGTGACCTGGGGGTAGCCATCCCTCTGTCAGGGGGCAGTCCTACTGAAGTCACATCACCTCGTCACTGTCACCGTCCTTGCATGCCCTGTGCCCTGCCTTTGGGAAACTCAGGCTCCCTGAAGAAACACATCTCCCGCACAGATGCTCCCTGCTCCCCAGTAGCAGCCCCCAGGGGATCCTGCAGGGCGGGCGCCGCCTCCTTCAGGCAGCTGCCTGTGATGTCTCAGTCCTGCCATGGCTCCTTGCTGCTGGGCACCTCACAAGGCCCCGGTGAGAGGCAGGTGGCCAGAGGCATCTGCTCTCCATCCTGGGGCTGGCCTTTACCCACAAGCTGGGCTGAGGGCCACGCCACGGGGGGTTCCTGCCACCTCTGTCTGCCTTGACCTGTTTTTCCCGGCCTGAGTCTGTGGGGTGGAACGCTGGGGCGGTCCGCGGGCTGGGACTGAGACAGTCAGTATTCTGTCATGGGCAGTATTCCCTAGAGGCAGGATATTCCCTAGAATGTTCTATCACCTGTCAGCCGATGGGCTGAACCACTGGTCACACTGGCCCATCTCGCCCCAAGTCCCTTGTGTGATTTGAAGGAAAGGTCGGGCTCTGGGTCACTCCCCAGGCTCTCCACCATTCTCTGACAACCAGCAAGGATCCAGAGGCAGTATCACACTCCTTCATTCAACAAATGCTGATTTGCCCAGCCCCTGTTTTGGTCAGACACTGTACTAGGTTCTAGAGATAGAGTGGTGAGCTGCCCTCCTGGAGCTTTCTATGGACTGCGGAAGACGGCCAGTCGTCCCCCCTGCTCCCAGTGATTCTGCTGTTAAGGAAGGATGAGAACTCTCCTGAAGGACAGGCCGGCCGTTCAGGGAGTGTTTTGGGGGGAGCGTTAGAACGGCTTCTCTGAGAGTGACACTGAAACCCAAAGAGCAGGTAGGAGGTGGCCAGGCAGAAGGAGCAAGGGCGCAGCCCTGTGGCCCAGAAGAGGAGCCGAGCCTGTGGGGCCACACAGAGGGAGCCTGCGGGGTTCCGCCCGACCCCTTATGCGCTGTGCCTTGTGACTCCGCACCTGCTGTGTGTCCCATAGTCCTCAGGCAACTCTGGAGGTGGATCCAATTACCCTCTCGCCTCATAGACTTGCAGACACTGAGGGATTCGGGAGGCTGCCTGGGACCCTAGGTCCCTGTGGGGCGTGACCGGCCGCTCCACCGCACGCTAACGCCCGGCCAAGGAGCACTCTGTCTGCAGGCCCCGCAGTGATGCCCTTCAGCCTGTTCTGAAGCAGCACAGACGTGCGCTGCCCTCTCTTCCTCACTTCCTGAGCACTTTCCTGAGCAAGGCCTTGAAGGATTGAGAGCTGGTGTGGGGCCAGGGGCCAGCCTCCACCGAGCCGCACCCCCCCTCCGCCCAGCTCTGAGATAGGACCCCTGCCTGCCTCTCCGCCTTGGCTTCCCCATGCTTCTGGGAGAGGTGTATTTTTCAGCTCTTTTTTGATCCCCAAAGCACTCTACATTTTCAAGTTTAACATGTTTATTTAGCACGACATATTTGAACAGTGATGGAAATTCCAATGGTGAGAAGAACCCCCAGAACACAGGGCTCCTTGTCCTGGCGCCGCCCTCCCCTCAGCACCCCGAGTCCTGCCACCTGTGGCTCGCAGCCTGCCTCTCCGGGCGGCCGCCCAAGTCTCCGGCCGCACCTCCTGAAATCACTGTTTCTCGGGCAGGTGCTATGGGGCAGGTGGTCGCACCTGCTGGCGGGATGAACACACGGCGGGGGGGGGGAGGGGGGCGGGCAGGGGGGCGAGGAGGACCTTGCATCGCCGGGTCTGTGGGCACGATCCCCCTCGCTTTTAGGAACAGATGTGATGCTGCTCGAGGACTACACGTCTGATGACAACCCTCCCTCCCACGGCACTTGCCCCCCCAAGAGAAGGAGCTCCGTGACATTTGAGGATGAAGTGGAACAAATCAAAGGTTGGTCTGTGGGACAGCCCGGGCACCGTCCTTGGCTCGCCCCCCCCCCCCCGCACCCCAACATCCCAGGGCTCCGCGCTTTGCCCGCGGCCACGCCTGTCCCTAGGCCGCCCTCCGAGGAGCGGCGGCGCCCAGGCTCGGGAGGGGAGGCTGCTCAACGCTAGACGCGCGCACGGCCACGCACGTACGCGTACGTACGCACCCACGTGCGCCCTGGCACGCACGCGCACGGACGCACGGACACGCACATGCGCACGTGCGCGCCCAGGGTCGGCGTCCTGGTTCCCGCCCCCTCCCTCGGGGAGCCGCTGGCGTAGGTAGCCGGGCCTGAGGCGTCCCTGGCTTCTCTGCCTCGTGGGTGCGGCGGGGGGGGGGGGGGGGGGGAAGCCCTGAGCCTCCGCTTCCGCTTCCGCGGAGAAGGGCAGCTGCGGCCCCAGGCCCACCGTGTCCCTCCGTTGGCGGCGGCCGCCACCCCGCCCCGCCCCGCCGTTGGTGAGGGCGCGAGTTCCGAGAGGCGAAGGGGCTCTGCTGCGGCGTCTACGCTTTTGTCCCCCGCCTGACTCGAATCCAGCCCCAGCACCTTGTCGCCTCTGAGATGTAGGGTCTGGTTTCCCGTGCGGACTTGCTGTGAGAAGAGTGACGGGACCGTCCGGAGTGCCCACAGTGCCCTTTGTCCTCTGAATGCCAGCCCGTGAGGACAGCCACAGGCCCGACTGGGTGCGGTTGTGGCGGAGTCTGGGGCTCGGGTCCTGACTCTGGCGGTAGACGGGGGCCCCGTGAGAGGGACAAGGTGGACCCAGGGGAGGGTGCGGCCTGCAGCCTCGTGGGCTTTCTAATACCTTTGCCCGTAAGTGAATGAACCTGTCGCGGGTCCGCCCGTCCACGCAGGCCAGTCTGGCCCCTTCCGGCCGGCTCAGCAGGGCTGGCGGCTCGGAGGGCGCCGGTCAGACCACAGGTGACGGGGCAGGGAGCGGCCACGTGGCCCTCCTCCACTCTTCCTGCACTCGTGTGTGGCTGCAGACTCCCTGAAATGGGGTGAAGGATGGCGTGTTCCTCACGTGGGGCAGAAGTTGTCCCCTCTCCAGAAAATGTGAGGGGTAGGGGATAAACTATCGCCCCAAAATGTCCGGGAAAGATGGGTAGCGAGGGCAATAGTAATAATAAGCAGTGGGTGTGAGGGTGAAGGTTGAGCTCTTTTTCTCTCCACGTGAGTTGTGAGGGGTCGTCATCCTGGGTGGGGCCTCAGGAGAGGCAGCATTCAGGTTTGTGCAAGTTTGCAGTCATAGACGTTATATGGTTCTACATAGTTGAAATACCAGAGAATTCTTCCAAAGATGTGGCATTTTTAGTATCATTACTAGGAAGTATTTATCAAGGCTTTCTTACGGGCCAAACCTAGACGTCTCAGAAAGCATTAATGATCATGGTTCTGCAACCCTAAGAAGAGGTGTACTGTGACCTCCTCTCTGCAGAGGAGGAAGCAGGTAAGTTCCATGCTCCCTACGTAGTATGTGGGAAGCCAAGGATTTGAGTCTAGGGAATTTGGCCACAAAACCCACACCGTCAGTTTGCATCCTGCCCCTCCCCAGGTGGTGAAGCATCCTCAGGCATATCCCCCACGGTTACCAGTCCCAGCTCTCTGCCAACCTTCTTTATGCTTCTCCCACAGATGCTGCCAGGAACCCTATTCTTCACGTGAAAGCTGAAGTGCATGAGTCCTTGGACAGTTATGCAGCCAGCTTGGCCAAAGTCATAGAGGCCGAAGCCAAAATCAACCTGTTTGGGGAGGAGGCTCTTCCCGGGGTCCTGGCCACAGCACGGACTGTCCCAGGAGCTGGCTTTGGGGGACGCCGAGGCAGCAGGACTCTTGCGAGTCAGAGGTTGCAGCTGCAGAGCATCGAGGAAGGGAACATTTTAGCTGCAGAACAGAGATGAAGGCCTCAGGGTGGACTGTCCCACAGAGGGGCGTCCGGGAAAGGAACAACATCTAGGCTGTAGCCACCAGAAAAAACACTGAGTACAGTGTCTTGTGAGACCACACGTGTGCTCCTTGTGGGTCCTGGCAACAGGACTAGAGGCATCTAAGGCACAGAGGCAAGCAGATGAAGGCGTGGCCATGACATTTTGGAAGTGAGGCATAGAAGGGGGACCCTGGCTTGGGAGGAAACCACCCTGTGGGTTACTTCCTCTCCCTTCATGATCTAGAAGTCCAGCTGAGCACTGTCCCAGAGGTCTCAGCAGTTAACCCTTCCCTGTGCACTTTGGAGGACAGAACTTCCTAACGAAGCATGATCATCCCTTGGGCTTCTGCATGGTTGATGCAGGCCACGTGGAGTCATCAGTTCTACACTGAATGGTCCCCAGAGGAGAACCCGGAAGCAGAGCCCCTCAGATGGAGTTCCTAACATCTCTATCCTGCTTATGACCTCAAAATCAGCAGAGTCACTTGCCGGTGCTGGCCACTATCAGGCCACACAGCTGCTGTCAATGAGGATGGGGCCACCTTGACCACCTCCCTATTGACTGATTCTCCAGTATTTCGAAAGAAGGGAGCAACCACTATAAAAGACACAAGGAGGGAGCAAGTGCCAGATATTTCATTTCTAGAATTAAAAAGATAATCCCTTTGGTTAGTACACACCACAATCTTCCCAAGCCTGACTGGGGCTGTGGTGCCCAGCATAGCCGGGAAACAGGCTGTTCTTCATGTAAGGAAACCTCATCTGCTAGATTGTTTGTGGTATTTGACCAGTCAGAGTGGCTGGCTTCCAGGTACACTGGCAAGAATCCCACTGCGGGCAACAGCGGCTGATTCCCCAGCCCCAGGCAGTGTGAGACAGGATGAAACAGAAAGAACGCTGGACTTGTGCTCTTGACCCAGTTCCTCTGCTTCCACTCTTCAGGACTTCCGGTCACCTCTCAAAGCCATCCAGAAAGTGGGATAATGGGGTGGGAAGTTGGAGAAAATGACTTCCGAGATCATTTCCAGCTGTCATCTTCAATGTCAGAGTCTGTAGGTGAGAGAGGTGGGGGGGAAGTGGACCCTTGGACCAACACCAGCACAGCTTTTGAGATGGTTTCTGACGGGCAAATGCAGCCCTGTGGGCACAGAGTGTGAACTCAGCCGTCCTGTGTCTAGCAGGGTCCTGACAGAAGGCTGACCTCCCAGAACCAGAAGTGAAGGAAGAGGTGGAAGTAGAGCTGCAGGAATGTGATTTGTATGGTTAGAACTTGCTCGTCTCCCATTTGATTTGGGACGGCAGTTGATGGGTGACCTGGCAGTAGTGCAGTGGTGACCTGGGAAGTCAGGGAATCCCTCGCATCTGCCCTTCCTGGAAAATAAGCACAAAACATTCCCCGCCTTTGGAATTCTAGGTGGCCAGAAGAAGGCAGATTCCGGGGAGATCCAGCTGCATCTGCTCCAAGGCAGCTACTCCAGACAGTACATTCCCTCTGTGGTGGTTTCTTTGGGGCCTACCTGGCTCCTGGTGACCAGTCGTGGCAGCCAGTGACCAGCTGCTTACTAAAGCCTTTTCACTCATCCTGGGGCTTGCTGCCTTTGTGTTGACTGAGGCCATCAGCAGTGCTCCCAGGTCAGCTGGGTGCCGGCCACTGGTCTGGGTTCTGGAGAGGGCGGGGAGGAGCAGGTGGCTTTTCCAGAGGAGCAGAGAGCAGTTGCACCTGTGGGCTCTGCCTATACGTGCAGGTCAGACAGATTATGCTACCACTACTGGGAGGCATTCCTAAGTCTGCGGGCATTTTATGTTTTCTATGTGTATGTATTTTTTTCCCTACACTCGTCTAGTAAAGGGGCCATATTCCTCATCAACTGATGTGCACAGAGATCTTCAGCTCCAGGCTGGACTAACCTGGGATGGCTTGTCCATTAGGCTTTTGTGAGAGCGGCACATTGGCTGGTGTCTGGGGAGAGTCCTGAAACCTCAAGGCCCCAGTGGCAGATCCCAGACTAGCTAGATCCCAGGGTTTCATCCTAGCCTATCTAGAAATGTCGCAGAAGGACTCACTGCCTTTCTCTTTTTCCTGTTGGCACTGCCAGACATGGCTCGTCCACTAGGTGCAGAGCAAAGCACTTCACTCATCACAATGTAGGGAGAGGCCTGGCTGGTAGTGATGCCAGTAAAGAGCAGTCAGGTAATGCTTATTCAATACGTCCACCAGGGGGAGGTGAACATTTCCAGGTAGAGCACTTAGGTGGGGGACCATGTGAGCCAAGCCTGGGAGGACGTTTGGTAGCTAGAGCCATATTTTGCACATTCAGGAATTCAAATCTGCCTTGATTCCGGCCTGAGAGCCAGAGCAAGTGGGGCGGGAGGAGCAGGGCAAGGAGGAGAGGAAAGGGAGAGAATCCCAACACGTTCTCGCGTTCCCGAGAGCCTCTTTGGGGACCCCTGCCCTCGGTGCAGAAGGTCAAAACCCTAACTGCCCCCATTCAGCCTGGGCCTGTTGGCTTTATACTGCTGTGCAGGGCGGGGGTGGGGTGGGGACACTTGGCCACGTGGTCGCTGAAAAACCTCAGTCGTGCGTGTCCCAGTTTTAACAGGACCACATTTTGGACTGTTGCCCATTTCTGCCCCTATCACTGAAACTGCCACTTGACTGGGCCCCCTGCTGGGCTCCGGGGGCCGAAGCTACCCGGCACAGCGCCGCTGCACGCCCGGCGGGAGGCACGGAGTCCTCGCCTTCGGGGCCCGGGACGCTAGGTGGCAGCAGTGCGGCTGCGGCGCCGCGGAGGCCGTGCGCCCCGCAGCCCGAAGCCTTTCTGGCGGCGGCGGCGGGCGGCTCTCTTCCGCGGGACCCGCGGGGCGCAGCCCCCAGATGGGTGCTGGGGACGTGGGGCGGCCGTTCGGACGGGAACGGGCTTTGACATGGAGACCTTAGGAGCGCGTTCAGCCCTGGCGACGGAGCGCTTCTGCGTCCGAGGGCTTGCTCGTGAGGGACTGGGCTCTGGAAGGGCCCCAGGGCCTGCCCGCGGCCGGTGGTCAGCCTGGAGCCCGGCTGCCTCCCGTCCACGGAGCCGGGGAGGGTGACGTGGCTCCGAAGGGCCGAGGGGGTCCGGCAGGCTCGGCGTTCCGTCCGGCGCTGCCGCTGAGGGAGCCGGGCAGCCTTGGGTCCCTGTCCTTATCGCTACGATAGGGGGTGTAACTTAGTCCTCTGTGGGGACGCGGGATGCAGGTGGGCCTCTTCCTAGGGGACCCTCCGGACCCGAGCGTCCCGCACGGCACCTGTGCGTGGCTGGAGCTGGGCCACCGCCTTTTCCCAGTATTGGTGGGCGGGGGCGGTGGACTGGTCTCCCAGGCATCTCCAGGACACGAAGGGGAAGATCTTGAGGAGACCACTGTTAGGTAGATAGGAGGTGCTGAGGGTTGTGGCCCTGGGGATGGCCCCGTTTGCTGCATACACAGCATAAGCGGGTCTTCTGGGAAGCGGGGTGTGGGGAGGCAATAGAGGGAGGAATGTGTGAAGTAGCAAAAATGAACTTTTTGGTTAATGGCATTCAAAAATGATGGACCTCCAGGGCCTGCTGTTGAGTCCCAGACCAAGGCACGGACTCAGCCTTGACCTCCCTTACAGCCCCTGAGATGTGACCTGGGTGCTAAGTACAGCTGTGTCCCGCTCTGACAGTGACTGCTTGGCAGCGGGTCTTGGGCTCACAGAATCTTTGATCCTCCAAGCCCCTGAGGCAAGAGGCCACAGGAGGCCATGCTGGTACCCACAGCATATGCAGAACCCAGATGAATCCCATGGGAGACAGAAGGGACATTACAATTTCCACCCTAAAGCAAAGTGGCTGTCATATGTGACTGTAGGCGGGGACAGAGCCTGACCACCCTCTGGGATGGGGAGAGGGGACACACAAAATCCAGGGAGGCCTAGGGAATGTCTGATACCCCGCCCCCCCAAGTACATTAAGCCAGAGTCTGGGTCAAATGCCAGATGTTGGCCATGTGACTGAGAAGGAGGTGGAGGAGGGATACTAAAAGTCATCATTAGGCCAGCTGGGCTTAGTAGGTGGGTAGAAACTAAACCAGAGAGCTTGGGAGCCTGAAATACTGGCTTGCGAGACCTCAAAAAACTGCAACCCAAGAAAAGTGATTGGATGTATTTGAAAGATTTCAAAGCACAAACTCAAATCTGCATGAGATTACCAAAAGCATGGTTTTGCTCAGTGTTATTTTTAGGAGAACATAATACACAAAGCTGTGTTCATTTCCCTCAGAGATTTTTCCTGAATAGTATTGGTATTAATAGCTTAGGAATGAGAAGCCATTTCTGGTTTTGTTTTTCACCCCACCATCTTTGAAATATCCAGAGTCACAGGCAAGTTAGCATGTCCCAGATGAAAAGGCAGTCCCCAGTCCCACACTCCCACAGAGGTGGCCTGGGGAATGGAATGTGCCACCTCCCAGGGAAGGTGCAGCCTCACAGCCTCTGAGTGCAGTGGGAAGAGCCTGTCTGCCAGGAAACAGGTCACTCTGTGATGCGGATATGCTGAGAGAGCCCTGTGCTGGATGCAGAAGTTGTCAAAAACCTTGAAAGCAAAACAAAAGCAAGCTAATCCTGAAATATATTCCACTTGAAGTTTTTGGACAATTTTTTTTTAAAAAAAGAAAAATGTTTAGGATAATTATAAATCACAGTATTTATAAACGATTAAAAGTATATTTAGAACAGTTTTATTTACCTGATTATCTGTTTGGTACCTGTATAGCTGAATTGTGGATTTGGACTTGTACTCCCTGGTGTCTGCCCTTTCCCCCACTGTGCTCAGACACATCCTTGGTGTAGCCTCCCTTTCCAAGGGCTGAAGAGAGGAAGGCAAGGAGGAAGGAGCTCACTGCTATAGAATTGGGAGGTGGCAATGTCCACACCACTCACCTCAGTACACCCATCCATATGCTGTTCATAAATTCTTCCAAGACAATTAGATTCAGAAAGTACTGACTTCCCCACATGACCCAGAAATACAGAACACTTAATTTTTTAAAGATTTTGAAAGAGAGGAAAGATAGTAAGAAAGCACAAGCCGGGGGAGGGAGAAGCAAACTCCCCATTTAGCAGGAAGCCTGATGCAGGGCTCAATCCCAGGACCCCAGGATAATGACCTGAGTCAAAGGCAGACATTTAACAACTCGGGCACTCAGGCACACTCTTTGTAAAAGATTTTTATTTTCATGTAATCTCTACACCCAACGTGGGGCTGGAACTCACAACCTTAAGATGCTCTACCAATTGAGCCTGCCAGGTGCCTCCTAATCCAAGGCTTTTAAAGGAGGCTTAATGGGGGTGTGTGGGAGGGGGCACCTGGATGGCCATCAGTTAAGCATCTGCCTTCAGCGTAAGTCATGATCTCAGGGTTCTGCTCAGTGGGAGTCTGCTTCTCTCTCCTCATGCTCTCAAATAAAATCTTAAAAAAAAAAAAAAAAGGCTTAATGAATAGCAACCCACTCTCTAGAGGTTTGTCCCATAACCAGAGGCAAAGGGTGGGTGACAGATTGCGCCTGAGACTTAGCAACCCCCAGGCACAAGACCTACCACCTTAACCTGATCACCTCACCTGCCACTACTGAGATCACAGTCCTTAGTCCCAGATGCAGGTGAGCCCCAGGGTCCAGCTGTCTGGCTGGGGTCTCCCTAACATAGGGATTCATGAGGTGTCAACTCTGCCTATATGTTTTCTTTTTGCTGCCTCCTTGACTGCTTGTTGGGCCTGCCCTGCTCCTTTGTAACACACAGTACCCAAACTGCACAATTAACAGCAGGGGGCCTAAGTCCTTTGACAAATATCACTTATTTTTTTTTCAGTAAGTTTTAAGGTTCCCAGCAAAACTGAGCAGAAAGTTCAAAATTTGCATATGCCCCTCTGTCCAGCCCCCAGGACTATGAACATCCTGTGCCAGAGGGGACATACATTTTCATTTTCTTCTGTGCTCTTCTGGTCAAAGAGCTGCTACTCCTTGACCCCTCTGAGCTCTCCAGTAGCCTCTGCCCCACCAGCCTTCCAGCACCTCTCTACAGCATATCCCTGTTTTATTACAGTGCGAGGAATGATGTCATGTGTGCTTCCAGTGGTCAGTTCAGTTGTTCTGTAAAGACCTTCAAACTCCATGGCTTCATGTGGTCCTAACAGCCCCTAGGACACAGGTGGTACAAATAAGATTGTCATTTTAGATCAGAGGAAACAAGCCCAGAGTTGTCACATGGCTTAAGCAGGTCATACAACTAATTGGTAACCAAAAACTAAGACCCTTGTACTTTCCAGAAATCATGCAGTTGCCCTATTTGGCTAAAGTTCTAATTCCTTTTCCCTTTGACCATTTACCACATTTCCTAATGTGCAAACACATGTGCCCTGTCTGGGGTGAGAGTCAGATGCTAAATTCCAATGGAAGTTACTGAGTTGGAAGAGTTATTTTTTCTCAACCCAAAAAGCCAGTCTGTCTTCTCTTAGTAGCTGGTGTCCCTGGGCTCGCAGCCATCTTGTGGGAAGGGGCAATGCCTGGTCCCCATGCAGGAATGGGAAGCTTTGCCTGACTACACCTGTGAGTCCATTCATGGCCTCGCTGGAAAAGAGCACACCAGTTTGGAAGAGGGGAGGGAGGATGACAGCAGGGTTAAATCTCCAGGAGCATTTTCAGCTCACAAGATATAGCCTGGGTGGAGACAGCCTAAAATGGGTGGAGTTAGACACTACATAAAGGAAGATGCGGAATTCTAAGATTGGACGATCAACAGCTTTCTTGAAATCTAGAAGTTGGAGAGCAGAAGACCAGAAGACAGAGCTTTCAGATCTTTCATGGGAGCGATCCA